GCACTTATAGAGTCAGATGATGATTACACAATATATTAATTTTAGTTAGTTGATTATGTATTTTTTAAATAAAAAAATTTTTTTGAATTTACTTACTTGTAGCTAGAGTTAGAGGCGGTTGGATATTTATGACCGCTACTATATATAAATATGATGAAAATAATATATTAATAAATTAGTTTAAAATTAAAAATATTTAAAAAATAATATTTTCAAAATAGTATTTTAATGCCCATTTTATTCAAGAACTTTTTTCACTAGATCTGCTTATAGTCAATATGTTAGTTTTTGCATATCTACTACTAAAATAGCGAAGAATCTGATATAAATAAAATTAGTGACATGTCATTAAATAATCAAAGCATTGAAATCAATGAAAATGATCAAAGTTTTTTGAATTATAATGACTAAAACACATCAATTCCAGAAGGTAGTGAACAAAGTATGTTAATTTTAAAAGGTGATGACCAAAACACGTCAATTCTAGAAGGTAATAATCAAAACATGTCAATTTCAGAAAGTGATATTCAAAGCATATTATTTTTAACAAATAATGAAGAGTCTGTCTTAGATGATATCTTAGAAGATATTTTAGAAGAATCTGAATTTGAATCTAAAATAAATACAGATTATCCAAATGAAGCATATGGTGATTTAATGGTATTAGTTATAAACTATAAACTTAGTAATAAGACAGGTAATGCAATAATAAGATTTTTTAATAAATATGCAAATCTTAATACATCTTCATTTTAAAATCTATTGAACAAGGATATATATACTGTATATAGATAATATGAATTTATTACGTTTGACATATCAAAAAACTTGTATAATAGATTATAATAATAAGAAATATTAATTTTATCATTAATTTTTATTAAATTGTATAAAAAATATTTTATCTATTTCCGAAACTTTACGCTAACTTTTGAAAAGCTTGAGATAATTATTTCATTTTATTGAGCTTTTAATATTTATATTAATAATATGATATATATTATTAATATATATGTAGTATGATGGAAAAAAAATATACAGTGAACAAAATACTGGAATATAGTGAGAAAATACAGAAAAAACCATTTTATATTATTCCAAAATCTTATAAATAATATTATATTTAGATGCTACTAATGTTGACATATTGGGAAAACGTAATCTTCATCCTATTTATGTGTCAATTGGTAACATTAAAAATTAGAAGCGTAACAAACCAAATGTTGAACAACTATTAGGATACTTGCCAATCCTAAAAGCTAGTGATAATACTGAAAAACAATCTGAAAACTTTAAAAACGTTGCTCATGAAGCCTTTCATAAATCTTTAGAAGTTTTGCTAAATCCTTTCCTAAATGATAATGGCATAGATTTAACTTTAAATAACGAAAAAATTTGATTTAGTCCTTAAGTTTAATCATAATTGCAGATTGGCCAGAAGCTGCAACATACAGTATAGAAATAATTTTTTTATAACTTTACTAAATAAATCACGCTTTTTAATTTCACAAATTAATTTGATTATATTAGTTAAAGTAAATCATTTACTATACATTAAGTAAAAATATTTTATATATTCAAAACTACTTACTTATAAAATTTTATCTTAATTAGTTTAATATTTGTTGAGTAATAGTTTATTGTAATTATAATAATTTTTGAATTTTTTGTTTTTTTGAATATTTATTTGTGTAATTTATTAAGACTATATTAATATAAATATATATCACAAAATTATCACACTTTATAAAAAAAAAGTATCAAATAAAAGTATTTAAATATTATTATTTTGTTTTATTTTAATTAAGTTTTTTTAAATAAATTTAAAAAAATTTTTTTTTATTATATTTTTAAGATTACATAAAACAGTAATTTATATAATAATTAAATATTACAATTACTGTTTTTCATGCAAAATTTTATTCTTTTCAAATATGCATTTTAATTATAATAATTAATGATAAATTTAAAAACTTTTATTAGAGTAAAGTTTATTTTGAATTTCATAAAAGTTTGCAAAAAAATACTTTATTATCGTTATCTGTCTGTTACACTCTTTGCTTTATACTTTTAACTTATTTACATATTTTTGTAAATGATTCAATTATGTGATATATTTATATTATATCTGATCGTCTAAAATAGCTATTTATAATTTTTATTTATTTGTTATTTTTAAGAATTGGCAATTCTAGTTCAATTGATAACAACTGAGTTCTTATTGTGAGTTATATTATAATAGTCATAGATTCAAGTCTCAGCTGAGGCATAAAATTAAATGATTTTATAAAAATTTAATATATAATTGAATAAGTAGGCATATATACTAATATGTATTAGTAACTGTCAATTGATATGTCATTTGATTGTTAATTATACCTAAATACTGAATCTTACAGAATAATTAGATGTAAATAAAGTCAGAAATTAATAAAAATTTAGCCTTTGCTGATAGGTCTATAATAGATACTATCTTACTTCTTTAAATTTAGGGGCTCTTATATAAGTAAGAAAATAATTAACCAGTAATTAATAGATTGAGTGAAACTTTTAGGATACTCTCAGGATGATTATGGTTGATAATAAACTGCATTGTACTGCTACAGTAATAATCTAATCAAACTGTCAATTAGAATAAAGGCCAAATTCAATTCTTAGGTAAGTTTGATAATATAGATATGATAGCTATCTACCTTTCTGAATTTTATAATAAATGATTATATTTAAAGCCTTTTTGATTATGTGTTAAATATTTTGATATCAGGTAGAGGTCATAATGATTCTGATTGGTATTAGTAAAAATGAAAAAAATAATTGACTAAAAGTACCTATGATTAAAAGTAGTATTTCATAAAATTAGATTAGATCAGATTTTATCTAAATCTGATTTAATTTGATTTTCATTTTTTAGAATCTGAATTCAATTTGAATTTAATTGATCCATTAAAATTTAGATCTGATTTGAATTTAATGGATTGAATCTCAGATCTAACAGATTAGTTTAAATCTGATCTGAATCTGAAAAGTTTTATTGAAAAATGATTTTTCAGTTTTAAAAGAAATCTGAAAAGTTATTTCTTTTTAATGAAAGAAACCTTTTCAGCTCTAAAAAAGATTTGAAAAGTCACTTTTTTTTAATGAAAGGAATCTTTTCAATTCTAAAAAAAATTTGAAAATTCAATAAAAAGAAACAGATTTTCAGTTTTAAACAAATTTGAAAAGTTATTCCTTTTTAATAAAATGAACTTTTCAGCTTTTAAAAAGATCTAAAAATTTGTTTCTTTTTGATAAAAAAAACTTTTTAGCTTTAAAAAAAATCTGAAAATTCATTTCTTTTTAATAAAAAGAACTTTTCAACTTTAAAAAGTTGAATTCAGATCCAACAGATCAGATCTGAATCCAAATTTGAATCTGATCTAAATCTGACAGATTTAATCTGAATCTGTGTAGAACACTAGCTAAAAGTGATTCTTTTATTCAAATTTGACAGCAGTTCTGAGGTCTAGTGACCTTAAGAGCTAGTCTTTTAGGATCGCTCTGGGTAATAATTCTTGAACTAGTATTTATTGATGAGATTAGGTATGATAATTAAATCTAACAAGACCTTTCTGATATAGGTTAGGCAAAAATAAGATTCACATGACTTGTATATACTGTTCCTTTACCATTAAGACTGTCTGATATATTAGGTACTTCATAAGAAAAAAAATATTTATTTATTTTTTAAAAAAACTTTTTCTCTTTACAACTATCATAACCAAAAAGAGAGAGTAAAAAACTACTAATTGTGACTACTCTACTTCATCAGTTTTAAGTAAATTATTAACTAAAAAGCTAAATACAACTTAGATAAAAGAACTGAAACAGTTCTTTAATATTCCTAATATTACTATAATTTCAAAATCAAAATAAAAGTTGACCAAATACTTAACAAAGATTTTTTAAACCTTAACTAAGAAAAGTAAAAGGAAGTTCTTTCTTTACTAAAAGCTATCAAAAAGGACTCTTTGAATATAAATAACTCTTTGATGCTTCAGAAAATGTTATCAATATAACTTTATTTAACTTTAACACTCTAAATAAAATAATGACTTATTTTTTCGCTTACCTTTCACTTGAAAAATACTAAGATATTAACTCTTAAATGAAGATCAATAAGGTTACTAATCTTTATATTAAGAAATATATTTTCTTTTCTAAAGTTATTTGAAGAAAAAATCTAACTAATCTAATATAAATTATCATAAAAGTTTTCTTTTCAAATATGGACGAACATAATCATTTTTATACTATCAAACTTTTTAAAGTGGATAATATCATATTTTTACCCCTAAAAATAAAAAATAACATCCATTCATTTCTGACTAATCAATTCTGAATACAGAGATTCTATTAGATGCTAAAGAAATTAAAATTAAGAAATTATTCTCTTATTTTGAAAAAGTAGTTAGATTTTAATAGTGATCAGAAATTTGTGACAACATGCTATAATTATCTTTGACAAAAAGACTAAATTTGACAAATTAAAAAATATCAGCATTTTTTAATTAATGATATGATATAAGTACATATGTATGATTTTTCTAAAAAGATATGTAGGAAAAATCTTGCTTTTTGCTAAATTAACAAATTTTACTCATTACACTATATTACGTGATCTAAATGAAATTGAAAAGATATTTGATATATTAGTCTGAATTGTCTCAGGTATGATCTAATTATAACTACTTACAATATGCTTATTTCTATTTTTAAAGTACTGCTAATGTTATAATTGTCTTAACTAATACTAATCTTACTTTCAATAATAAAAAGTTTTTTTTTTCTATTAATGTGTGGTAGCTTAAGATTTACTAGAGGAATACCTATTAACTAAGTAAATATTATCCTCAAAGTGATCCTTTAAGATCTCTGATTCTCAGTTAAGGGGTACGGTAACCTAACACTAGAAGCACATCCCTGACAATTTGCCACTTAGTATAGATCACCTGTAATAGTTATATCCGCAGTCACAGGCTCACTAGACCATTAGATACCATCACCTTTGAGAGAGTTCATATTAACTATAGAGCTTGTCACACCCTATTTTTACCAGTTTACTTTATAGAGTTTTACCCTATTGATGACTACTGAAACTGTGATAAAGATAGCGTTGCAACATTGTAATACTTATTTGTCACCTGTTACAACTTAAATTTTAATAATGTTGCAATTTGTTGTAACATTATGATGCTTATTTGTCACCTGTTACAACTAATTGAGGTGTTATCTTTAAATTGTAAGATCAGGTCCTTTACATAGATGGTAGTATTTATACCCATAATGTCAAATTCACCTGAAAATTGAACTCAGCCTCTATCCCTAATAATAGTTTGATTGAATGATGCTGTAACGTGCAATACAGTTTATTATCATCATAGTCATCCGTAGGTAGTACTCAATCTACTAATTACTGGTTAATCACTTCCTTACTTGTGTAGGAATCCTAAATTTGAAGACATGAGATAGTACCCATTACAGACCTATTAGCGAAGACCAAGTTTCTGTTAATCCCTAGTTTTATTTGCATCCACTTGTTCTTTAAACTCAGTATTTAGGCATGATCAATGTAGATTGATAAATCAATCTACTAATATTTAACGCATATTAGTTTATACGCCTACATGTTCAGTTATATATGAAATTCTTATGAAAATCATCTAATTTTATGTTTCGGCTGTAGAGGTGTGCTCCGAATCTGATCAATTCAGATATCC